AATGGATAAAAAAGATGTGGTTTTCTTAACAATGGAGTAGTACTCTGCCATAAAGAAGGATAAACCTGATACATTTCTAGGTAATTGGATGCACCTTGAGACCACTCTTAAGTGAAATAAATCAAACACACATGTATAAATATCTCATTATTTCTCTGGTGCTAGAATCCAAGAGTGTAAGTAAGGAGCAAATGCGTACTAGGTATTACGAAATAGGAAGTAATGGGGAGAAATAAGAAGAAGTGTTTCAGTGGGCAGGGGAGCAGGGGAGGGAAAGGAGAAAAGGAAAAGAAAATAAAAAGAAGGGAAAAATAGAAACAAACTTTTTGTAAATAAGAAGGGGAAGAGAGGTTGAAGGGAGGGTAGGGGAATGGGAAAAGAAAAAGAATTAAGATATCTTGTTTTGAAATTCTGTATCATTTTTACTGTTTTTGTGTTGTTTTGTCTTTGTTGTTGTTATTTTGTCATTGGTTTTTTTCTCTTTAAAATAAAAAAAGATACATCATGTACAGGTACAATTTCCCTATGATGTATGTGATCATTATACATACCTAAAATGCACCAATAAACTTAATTAATAAAAAAAATCTGCTGATTTTCCTCAATGTCTCAATGCTTACATTTTTGCTACTTCTGAGGTGTGAAGGATACCATTTTTCTGTTTCCACCTTTGTCTTCCTAATGGATATGTAAATGTTCATTTCTATTTTAAGCTCATCTTAAGTATGAGACCAAGCGATGACATCTAGCACTAAAGCAGTTAAAAGCTTCAGCCAATGCAATTTTTCTAAACAATTCTGAGACAGAAACCTAATGCTATGTATGACATCAAGTACACTTCAGTGAAATAAAGTGAACATAATTACATCAGCAACTCCTGTGATTTAAGTGACTCTTTTATACCTTAAATATTTTCCCCCCACCATTTATTAGTGTGGAGTTGTGAAATAGTAGATTCTGTATTCTACACCAATAACTGTGGGTAATACAGCTATGCTTAAATGTATCATATTCTTGTATCAGTATTCTTCTTCATATAACCTCATAAATTTCCACTTTTTAATCTTAAGCCTTGGGAAAGCATTAAAGGGTAAATAAAATCTATATTTAGAAATAACAACATTCTCTTGGAAGCTAGACAAAATATTCCCTTGCTGCATTTCTAATTCATTTTTGGATTTAATTTGAAGTCAAAAATCTGAAGATAGATCTAAATTATTGTACTTGAATAGTATGCTTAAAAATAACTACTGTCATTTATTTGCGACTTATTTTATTTACTTAAATACCCATTAAGTGTGGATAATTCTCCGTTAAAGGTGAGAAGTGTATTACTAGCTCAAGTGTTCATGGTTCTGGACTGGCCCACACAAGGCAATAAACATAGTAGCCTGATCACAGCACCCGCACTGTTAAGCACTACACCACAATTTGAAATCCTCTCTTAAAATTGCAAAAGTATAGAGTAGAAATCTCACTGCAAGTCAGTTCCTGGCAAATCCTGTGATGGCCCCCTCCTTTCCTCCACATCCCTTCAGTGTGGTCCACATGTCATTCTGGGTGCAGCCCTTCCTTCACCCCTGAGAGACAGAGAGAGACCTCCCTGGCAGTCAAGTTAGAGAAGGATCCCGCTGCTACTCCTGTGCTGCCTTCAACATGGGAGCAGGAAAGGAAATGAAGAAGCAAAGTCTCCTCCTTGACTTTCAACTGGAATTTAAAGAGCCTTCCCTGAGAGCTCACAGACCTGTAAAATTGCTTCTTAGTTCCCCTAAGGGCCTGCAAATGTTCCAGCTGACTGATCTTCCAAGACAAATTGTGCGTTGACTTGCTCAAGAGTTTATAAAACTTGTATGTCCCCAAACAATTAGAGTTCTTTTATTTCTTTGTTAGCAGGATTGTAGGTTTTTAATGTTATTTATTTTTTAATTTTATGAAAAAATGAAACAAAAATTCATAACAAAATAAGGGAATAACAATAAATACTACACCATACACTGTACCACTATTTTCAAAGCAGTTAACCAGACATGAACTAAAAAAATTCTTACAAAAAAGAAACAAACTTTTCTTATTTCCCTATTTAACTTTTCCTGTCTTTGTATTTGAAGATATTTTCATTTCTTGTTAAGTTCCAAAAGAAAAGAGCCCAGTGTATACAGAGATAAAATATAGTGTCTCTTTCATGAATCAGGACAAAAAGCTCATATCTTTACCAAAAGCAAGAACTGAAATCTGGATTGAGGACAATTGTACAACATTGGAGCAGAAAAGAGAACTTATTAAGGAATAGCATCTATGTCTACATGTGGAAAGACATACTAATAAACTCTTATATTTTTGTCTCAGAAACAGTTTTGATATTCTGTTACTTTAAACTGAAAACACACTTTCTAGGATTAACTTTTCTTTTTTCATTTTATCTGAAAAAGAGACATACCAGGTCTATTTAATGTCGGGGAGCATTGCATTACTACTGAAGCTTGAGGGAAAACTTGGACTTCACACATCAGGCCCTTTCCGGAGGGACCCGGCCAACATGCTGCTTTGTGCAGTCTTTCAACACTGCTTCCTCCCTGCTTCTCTATCTATTACACATCTCACAGTGACACGCAGAATTGAATTGAGTCATAAAGAAAGTTAAAGCCAAAAAGACTATCACTTCAATTTTGCAGAAAACAGAGAAGTATTAATTTATTTTAAATGCAACTTTACAAGTTTGTGCTAACACACAAAAATCACAGTGATATTAAGAAAATATTACTCAGAACCCGACTTTTAGCAGAACATTCTGGAAGCCTGATTCTCTTTTCAAACTACACATATCATCTCCCACTGTATTCCATATATTGCTTTTCTTAGTGTTTTCTTTTCTGTTTTCATGAAAGGAACAGAGTTGGATACCAGTGAAATAGATTATAAGATGGAATAGGGAAGATACTATGAGAATAACAATATTTTTGTTCTATTGTGAAAAACTAAATTTTAAGAAAGTCAAATTAGAAAAGAAAAATGTAGAGATAAAGAGATCCACATCAAAGGAGGGATTAGAAACTAGAAAGGGGGATTTCCATTTCCTCTCCTAGAATTTGTCCAATATTCCACAACTTTTCACTGACTTAAAATTCTATTATCATCACTATTAAATCGCAAAGTTTACAGCAAGTTTCCTAAGAGAGAGAGATGGCCCAATTTCCAGTCAATTTCATCTGTTCTTTAAAATCCTTTAGTGTTCTTCACATACTACAAATCCCTTAAAT